AACCAGGCATTTGCCTCGGTGAAGTTCCAGCTAGATCTGATGGAAGAGCTGCAGCCAGAGATTCTGAACAGCTGAAGGAAGCAACTAAATCAAGCTTTGGGGCTGTGGTCTTGGGAACCAGTACTAAGCATATTCTACCCTGAAAATGAGGGTGTCTGTATATATTAGGTGGCCAAAGGTTAATTGTGATGGACTTCACTAACTGTTTACTCAAAATCATTCTCTTCTCGTTTAATGAAGAAACTCTTTGAAGTGGCATTATTGGTGGCTGCTTCCCAGACTTCCTTGTACCTAGGAATGGCCTTAAGAGCCTCTGACCAATTGGGTAAAAGTACAGATCTATTGGCAGAACCTCTGGAACTTTTAGTTTTCTAAAATAGATAGATAGGTAGATACATAGATAGATAGAGCCAACTAGATTTGTAATTTGTCCTTCATCCTTCCTTCTCTTTTGCCTATAGGGCAGACTAGGATCTGTGTTCAGACTAGGCAGACTCTGGGCAGACTAGGATCTGTGTTCAGCAAGGTACACCCTACTTTGGCTCAGGTACATTCTGGTAATTGTCACTTGGTGCAAATTTGAGCTCATAGGTGGAAGAGTCCAGAGGACATTTTCTTCATCTTCTTGACATCCTATGTAGGGGCAGGTATGAGTTGATATGCAGACATTAATATCATGGGTCATCTGTTCTTCTGTCTAGATACAGAACCTGCATAGAAGAGTCATTCAGGGGACTATGCAGTCTGGGTTTAGGTGTGGATGCTACCTATTCAGAGGAGTTTTCTGAGCATGCTAGTTTTATATTTCTGTTAAACACGAGGGAAACTGAGCTTAGTGAGTCATGGGGAGCCATCATTCAGGCTTCCCAAAAACCCACAGTTAAGCCTGTTGGGGTCTCCATGGTCTGGGGAGACATTTATTTGCCTTCCATTTTTTTTAATCTGCTAATTGCATCTCTAACAATGAGATGAGATATTAAAAATAGTCTTCTGGTTTAATGAAGGTGTAACTGACTCCTGCACAAGAAAAGCAACATATTAGCTTCCTAGATAAAAATTGAAATCATTTTGTTGATCTTGCTAATGTTTCCCTGATTTCTAGTCTTTCATTTTAAGAAATTACAAAGAAAGAAACATTTTCAGACATAGCAGTCTTCCAAGTCCCAAATGGACCTAAATTTGGAATGCCTGAAATTGAAAGCACTGACACTGGATTTACTCAGATCAAGCAGAATACAGTCTTCCCTCCTGGCATGAATAAAAATAATTGGAACCTTTACTTTAAGTAGCATTGTTAGATTATGTAATTCTCCATTTCTCTTTAATCTTCTGAGAAAGAAAACATAAAATGGTGTATGAAAATCTTCCTATCCCTGTTACACTACCCATTTGCTTTTATATTA